TATTACCTCACATCTTGCTTCCCTAGTGGCTGCTGGCATCTCTCAGACTCTGCCTCCTTTTTCCCTGTATCTTTGCTTGAATTTTCTGGCTGGCTCTATTCTGCCTGGCTATTGGCCAAATCAACTTCTTTATTGACCAATGGTAATAAAACATATCCACAGCATACAAAAGGGTATCAGTCGTTAGCATATCACAATCAATTAGTCAATTAAAAGACACAACTGCTTGTATATTCAGCTTTGTTGCTTGGTTAGTCTTTGTATTTGAGACAAGGTCTCATGTAACTCAGCCTGGCCCTGAACACTGTTGCTGGGGTGACCTTCACGCCAGTCCTTCTAACTCTGCCTTCCAAGTGCCGCTCCACATAGCTACTTTTGTTCTAGAGCAGACTATGAGATGTTGAAGTTTTGCTTTGTAAGATGCTGTTCTGCCAAGACTCTAAACCTAACATCTGAACAGAAAATGTTTTTCTAAATTTCTAATAGAAGGGTTCTAATCTGCTTTGGGTTTTGACCCCCCTCAAGTAACAGAGGGAGTGTACTTTTCAGTTTGTTTTCAGAATTGTTTAGAAAAAGGTTTCTTTCTGAGGAAGAGAATCCAAAAATGCCCTCCTCTGTCTATTTAGATACAGAACAGATGGGAAGGACAAGGAGGCAGTTCTGGAAGAAGACGATGACCTGTGGGTCCGGGTCCGGCATCGGCACATTGCGGTTGTGTTGGAGTATGTGAGCCCATTCTAACTTTATTCTGTGCTTTTTAGGTACTAAATTGTAAAAGTATATCTTATAACTTTAAAATAGTTTTATAAAGAACTAACTTAGAAATTTTTTTCACACATCTGACAGGGAGATTCCAAAACTTATGAAGGAAATTTCATCAACCAAGAAAGCTACAGAGGGGAAGGTAAGAGTCTTTCAAACTGACAGCAAAGGTGCATTTTTACTTTTAGAGACAGAGTCTCAGAAGGCTGACCTCCAACTCACTATGTTACTAGGATGACTTTGAAGAGGAGTTCCTGCCTCCATCACTCAGGTGCTAGGATTACAGCTGTGTACTGTGTGTATGGTGTGGTGTCTGTGTGTGGTGTGTGTGCAAGTGTGAAGGTTGTGTGATGTGGTGGTCAGAGGACAATTTTAAGGAGTGGTCTCTCTCCTTTGCATGAGCTTCAGGATCAAACTCAGGTGGTCAGCGTTGCACAGCAAATGCTTTTACCAACTCAGTCATCTCATCAGCCCTGCAAAGGCAAATTATAAACAGAGTTGAAAACAGTGAAAGTTATTGTTAACTTTCTATTTGGGGACCATTGTAACACACAGAGAGAAATAGAGAAACACTTGGGTACCCATTACCTCATTTTTAAAATTGATAGCATTTTTAACCATGTTACTGCCATTAAAATTTAGTTTTTAAAGGCTGCTTAGTCAGTTTCATCAGTGCATGGATGAGGGGTTTTGTTTTGTAAGGCTCTCACTATGTTGCCCTTGCTGGCTTGTAACAAGGCTGGCCATGAACTCAGAGAGCTCACTTGGCTCCCAAGTGCTGAGATTAAAGTCCTGTGCCACCATGCCAGTCCAGATAGTTGAGATCTCTAGTACTGAAGTATATATAATGCATAAGTTGAGTGTACAACTCTTAATGTGTGCTAGCTTGCTTTTCCTTACATGCACACATACCAATGTTATTTTCAGCCTAATATTAGTGCACATTTTCTTTTTGGTGTTGTTCTAAACAGCATTAGTTTTAAAATTCTATTTTGTTAGCATATAAAATATAGGTGATTTTGTAAATTTTTACTATGGATCCAGTGATCTAACCAACTTATTTTTTCAATCCTAATACTTTAAAGATTAGTTTGGTTTTTGGTTTTTTATTTTATTTTTTTTAAGACAGGGTTTCTCAGAGTAGCCCTAACTGTCCTGGAGATCACTCTGTAAACCAGGCTGGCCTCAGACTCACAGAGATCCACCTGCCTCTGCCTCCGCTGAGTGTCCAAGTGCTGGAATTAAAAGTGTGCACCACCATGTCTGACTTCTTTCTCCTTTTTTCTGTTAATGTGATGAGTTATATGCACTGTATTTATAAAATGGACTCCACTTGATCATGATGCCTTATCCTGAGTACTGGTAATTCTGTTTGCTGAGCACTTGTTTCCTGTCTACAAGAAATAGTTCCTGTAACATGACTGTAACATTCTAGTCTAATTTTCATATAGAAATTATGTTAATCTTATGAAATGAGTTGTGATTCTCTCATTTTATTCTGAAAGTATTTGTGTAATTTAGTTGTTCTGTTGTGATCTAAATTCACCATTGATGGAGTATCCTTCACAAAGAAGTTTTTAGTTACAGTTAATGTAAGCTCTTTAGCGTATCTCTCTCTTTCTCTCTCTCTCCATATATATATATATGTGTGTGTATGTGTGTGTGTGTGTGTATTAATCTCACAGCCCAAATTTTTACTTCTTCTGTCAGTTTTGGGAAACCATTTTTCAAAGAATTTGTCTACTATACTTAACTTTTGAACTGTTTTCTTAACCTTTTGTTGTGAATAGACTTTATACTGATGTTCTGTTTATTAATCTTGATATTAATTTGTTTTTCTCATATGATTTTAATGCTCCTACATTTAATATTTTTAATATTTCAAAGAGCCATGGATATAGCGTAGTGGTCAAATACCTGTCTAACATAAGTGATTCCCTAGTAATGCAATTGTGTGTGTGTGTGTGTGTGTGTGTGTGTGTATATATTCTGGTCTTGTTGATTTTTCTCTACTATAGGTTTGTTTTATCTGTTATTGTGTGTATGGTGTGTGTGTTGAACAAGAGGGCCGTGGTGCACATGCAGAGGCCAGAAGACACCTTAGTAAAGTCACTTCTCTCCTTCCATCTTCGTGTGGGCTCTGGGGACCAAGCACAAATTCTCAAGCCCTCATCTTGCTGACTTTGTTATAACAGTCTATAACAGATTTAGTTTATTTGTGTGCAGTCTTAATGTCCTTCAACTTTGATTTCGTTTTTTCTAGCTTCTTGATTTGGACATTTAGAGTATTAATTTTTAACTTCTCTCCTACTGTGTCTATTTAGAGTTATTTCCTTCTCAACATTAGCTAAATCCCAAGGGATTTAGAATAGGTTTTTTTCTTCCTCTTTTGGTTTTGGTTTTGGTTACTTGAGATGTGATCTAGTGTCTGGAGTGTTTGCTTAAATCTTTTTGTTTCATCTACCACATCTAACACTGAGACTCTTCTGAAATCTCTATCCGTGCTTAGCAACCTAGTTAGTTTTCTCTGCCAGGCCTTTGACTGCAGAGTAGGGGGCTAAGGACAACCACTGCACATGTGTTTATCTTATGTTCTAACTAGTTCCTTTCTCTCTGTGACTCTGAGCTTCTGAAACCTACCTAGGTAGCCCTGAAGTAAACATCCCTGGGGGACAGCAGGCTGAGCTCAGTGACCACCCGCTCTGCTTTCTCCATCTCCCTGGTTGTCCGTTGCCCAGGAGGTACTGTTTGAACTGTCCACAGGGAAGAGTGTGATGGAGTCAGAAACCCCTCATGTTCTCTCAAAACTTAGCACACTTATTAAATTAGCTGGGTTTATTAGGACTTAGAAGTTCTGGATTGGAAGCTGTAATGGGGAATTACTGAATCATGGGTTTGCTAACGTTTTTTCTTTTGTTGTGTTTGTTTCTCCTAGACGTCACTTAGTGCTCTCACCCAGCTGATGAAGAAGATGCCCCATTTTCGTAAGCAGATGACGAAGGTAAGCAGTGACCTTTACTGTGCACGTGCCTGCTCCTGAGGTCAGGGTTAGCAGTGTTCCTGGAATAGTTGCTGGCAGGTGTCTTCCCAACCATTACTGTAGATCTGAGAAGTGACCAAACTAACCAAACTAGCCACTGACTTTTCTATCCACACCATGTGTATTTTTAAAACTTTTGTCTTAAACAGCTAAATAGAATAATATTTCTTAGCCTCACAGAAAAATTCAGTGTGACATTATCTAGTGGCTGTTTTGTTTCCAGTGCTAGGCACCAATCCATACATTTCCTTAAATTAATTGTTACAAATTAGATTTAAAATCATTTAACTCTACATAAATCACTTTTTTCCATCCTTTTCCCTCCACCCCTCGCTCTTTCCTTCCAGCCATCCGTCCATTTATCCACCAGTCTGTCCATCTTTGGTAGGGCTGAGTTAAGTCTCAGTCTAACACACACTGAACTAGAAGTCACTCTGACCCAGGCCTGTGTCAGACGGTGTCAGTCCTCTGACCTCATCCCTGAAGTTGATGGTGGTGTAGGTGTGAGCCACAGTCACAGCCTAGCCCAGCCTTTCCTAGAAATAACTACCTTCTCACATTTGTATAATGTTGTATCCCAGTTAAGAACCAGTAATATAAAAGAAACCTTCTGTTGTTCTTCTTTGGGAGTTGATTTTTTTCCTTATCCAAATTTTTGTTACTCTTCAGGTCCACACAGATTCAGACTGCTCTGTTTTGCTGTCTGTTGATGACCCCTTTGTTACACTGGTGCTCAGATCCTGTCTTGAGACATTCCTCTTTATTGTGTGTTGCTTTCTGGCACTTAAACCCATCATAAAACTTTAACATTGAGCCAGAGAGAAGACTCAGAGTTGAGAGCACTGGCTGTTCTTCCAGAGGATCCAGGTTCAGATCCCAGTGTCCGCATGGGGGCTCACACTTGTTTGTAACTCCGGTTCCACCAGATCTGGTGCCCTTTTCTGGCCTCTGGGCACCAGGCACACGCACTACTGGCACACAGACGTACGTGCAGGCTTACACCATAGACATAATTTTTTTTAAAGCTAAATATTATCAGTTACACAAAAAGTAATTAAAATGCTGTAAATAATCACTTTCCTGTTTTCCAGCAAGTCGTTCATCTTAACTTAGCTGAAGATTGCATGAATAAGTTTAAGCTGAATATTGAGAAGCTCTGCAAAACTGAGCAGGTATGTACAGAGCCAGAAACACCCACCTGTGCAGTAGACTCCAGAACGACTTGTAAGCCAGCGTGTAACTGTTTTGCTCAGGACAGCGGTTGAGCTCCACACAGTCAGAGTTTCTAAGAAGGGGACTGGCCTAGGCTTCCTTCCTCTGCTTTGTGTTTCTATAACAAATGCCTGCAACAATAAGCTTAAAATGAGAAAAGGCTTGTTTTGGCACACAGTTTTGGTTGGTTGTGTTTGTTTTTGGTGCTGGGGCATACTTGGTTGAGAATACTCAAGATTTAGTTTTATGATCAATTAGCTTCACTGCTTTTAGAGCTGGCACATCATAACAGGGGTGTCTGGTAGAGGAAGCCGAGAAAGGACAGCATTTCCACTGTCCCCTTCACAAGCACAACCCAAAGACCAGAAGACATCCTCTGACTCCTCCTCTTAGTTTCCTCTCCCTCTCAAAAGCACCAGAGGACAAAACCTTATCACATGACCCTTTGGGGTCGGTCATTCCAGATCCAAACTGTAGACCCGCCAACACTGACAGCTCGGCCCTCCTACTTTGTGGTCTTTTGTGGGTTGTGCAGTGCTTTAAGTTATTGAAGCATCTTTTCAAGGCTTTCTCTGGGTGCAGTGCAAGAGCGCTGTCCTGCAGAACTCTACACAGCATTTTTTGTACACACACACACACACACACACACACACACACACACACACACGTAGTTCCTAAACTGTTTAGAGTATCACACTAAGAGAAATTGAATGCAAGTTGCATGCACTATTAACTATTCTGGTAGCCTCATTACAGAGGTAAACAGTGCAATTAATTTTGGTAATAAATTTGACCCAATCCAATATATTCACACTATTGTTCCACCATGTCGTTAATATAAAAACTGTTGATGAGATATTTTCTGTTCTTTCACGAGTACTCAGAAATCCATTGTTTGCACCCAGAGTGTATCCTAGCCAGGTTGAGCACGTCAGAAGTGCGCATACCCTAGTTTGTAGTGGCTACCACAATGGCTTGCTCTGGTTTGCATGACTTTCTTTCCCTTGCATTTGCTTGATGACTTTTTGTATTTTGTGCAATGAATAGTTTGCAGCTAACACATTTCCTGGGGAATACCAGTGTTCCACAAAATTTGACAATTTACTAATAAATACTTTTTACCAGAAAAGTAAGTTTGGATTGCATTTTACTGTCATTAAGGACCTGGCACTTGGAACAGATGCAGAAGGGCAGCGGGTGAAGGACTCCATGCTGGTGCTCCTCCCAGTGCTGCTCAACAAAAACCATGATAACTGCGACAAAATACGAGCGGTCCTGCTCTATATCTTCGGTATTAATGGTAATAGAAAGCTTACTCATTTCTGTGACTGTATTAAAGTATTAACTCTAATACTTTTTACATTTAGTTACTACATATTATTTATGTGTGTGGTGAAGAATGTACATGTCATGGCCTGTGACTAGAGGTCACTTTATGTCCAGATTTTAGCACCCACCAACATTGACTAGCACCCACATGGTATCTACATGGTCTTGCAGTTTGGATACATTTTGAGGTTCCGTTTTCTCCTTCCACCATGTGGGTTCCAGGAACTAAACCCAGATTGTCAGTCACCTTTACCTACTGAGCCATCTCCCCAGTCCCAAGTGACATTTTAATAATTTTAATAGCTTGTTACTCACTGTAAGGGAGTCAGAAAACCCAAAAGTAAATGCTAGTTAAGATGAATACAAAGAAAATAGGAACCTGAGAGAAAACTAGAGGGAATATGTTTGCTTTTTTTAAGCTTTAGTCCTAATATTAATTACTTCAAACCTAGAATTAGCTACAGTAACAGTTATCTGACTGTGCATTCCTGTTTTTACTTCCTTAAGGAACGACTGAAGAAAATTTGGACAGACTGATCCACAATGTAAAGATAGAAGATGACAGTGACATGATTCGTAACTGGAGTCACCTTGGTGTCCCCATTGTTCCACCAGTAAGGAAGTGTGTGTGTGTGTGTGTGTGTGTGTGTGTGTGTGTGTGTGCGTGTGTGTATCTGTTTCTGGTGTGTGCATACATTAGCTACTTTTGGAGTCACAATCGCTGCCTTTGCACCATGAGGTACTTGTATTAACTACTTTTGTTTATGGGAATCTTATAGATATTCTTGACTTCATCTTCAAGAATTTGATTATTAAGTAGACAATTAGGGTTTTTGTTTTGTTTTTATTTTCACTTTCTGAAGCTAGGTCTCCTGTAGTCCAGGGTAACCTTAAACTCCTGTCTTTTCAAGTGATAGGTTACAGTGATGCGTCCCTGCCCTAGTGTATGTGTGATGGGAACTACTAGGCAAGCACTCTTACCACCTGAGCTACATACCCACCCCTAATATTTTGTTTTCATAGATAATCTGAATAAATAGCATTTTCTACGGAATTTGTGTTTTCAGCTTCTATTATAATTTACTACTTATACCTTTCTCTTTATTGATTCATTTGTACCAATGGTTAAATTTTATATCCAACCCTTTATACAGCACAAAAAAGAATTACATTCTCAGGTTGGGTATATAGTTTATGGTATAACACTCACCTAGTATGTTTGAGGTTCTTGGTTCAATTTCCAATACTATAAATAAATAATGAATAAACAAATAAAAATGAGGTTCAAAGTAAAATTTTAACTCTATTTAAAACCCCACTCTTTGCCACCAAGTTTTATAAGACTTTTATGTAAATTCACACTTTCTGACACTTACAAATTTAGTGCCAAGGTACAAATACTGTTCAGTGACCCAGCGTGTGCCAACCTGTTGTGATTTCTCTCTCTCTTTTTAAAGTAGGCAGTTTTGCTGTTAAAGCTAATGCAATGCAAATTTTCTGGCAATTAACCTTTGTTAGGAAATGTAAGTTATGCTACTGAATGAAATGATTTGCCTCTTTAATTTTGTTAGTCCCAACAAGCCAAGCCGGTGAGAAAAGACCGCTCTGCAGAAGAGACCTTCCAGCTCTCCCGGTGGACACCCTTTATCAAAGACATCATGGAGGTAAAATCACAGCCCCCCAGTAACTGTGAGCACCGTTTCTGTCTGCCTTCCTCTTTGTTGTCTCTCAGTGCAAGCACAGCTCACATGCACAAGCTTGCAGGGACCACAAAAGAAAGCTTTATTCAGTGGAAAGTCTTAATGATCTCAGTCAGTCAGATAGATAGATAGATAGATAGATAGATAGATAGATAGATAGATAGATAGATATGAGTATGCACTTACTTCAGGGGAACCATTGCTATTCTTTTTTTTTTTTTTTCTGGTTTTTCGAGACAGGGTTTCTCTGTATTGTCTTGGAGGCTGTCCTGGAACTCCCTTGGTAGACCAGGCTGGCCTTGAACTCACAGAGATCCGCCTGCCTCTGCCTCCCAAGTGCTGGGATTAAAGGCGTGCGCCACCAACACCCGGCCCATTGCTATTCTTTTAAATAACTATGTAACATAAATTAATTTGAAAGACACTTGAATACAATGACATTTGTATATGTCTTAGTAAAAAGTTAAGTCTGGTGATAGAGGTGCATGCCTTTAATCTCAGCACTCGGGAGGCAGAGGCAGGGGGATCTCTGAGTTTGAGACCAGCCAGGTCTACAGAGCAAGTTCCAGGACAGCCAGGGCTGTTACACAGAGAAATCCTGTCCAAAAAAAAAATAAGGTTAAACAAAAAGTATGTGATTAAACTGTACATCTCACTATAGTTTATTGTTAGAGTCATCAGGTAAATATACTTTTAGTGCTGCTTGCTCTTAGAAAATAATATTGATTTATAGGAATTATAAATATTAATTTTAAAATTGCCTTAGGAACTCAACAAAAAACATTTTTTCAGCTTTCCTTTGACTAAGTATAGCTCTGATTCTACTTTCCTTTTGGTACTAATGCTCTTACTATTTTTCTTCTTTTCAAAACTAATTTTACATCAGTTGTAAATGAATCTGAAAAACATAAAGCAGTTAGACTTTGTCTTCTGCAGTGTGAGCTCCTCCCACCCAGCAATGAGCATGCAGAAGTAGTTTTTCTTAACTGGTTATTTTTGAAATGAAAATAAGCTTGTTCAAACTCTTAACAAGGTTTTTTCATGCTAAATCCAGAAACTACACATTGGGTGTGTGACTGTCCTAGGCTTTTGGGATTTCTCCTAACTTCAAACATGGTGTCTTCCTCTCAGCAGTCTTATTAAAATCCTCTTGCACTGTCCTGTCCTCCTGGGTCCTCTTTTCAGTGCCTTTATGCTATCACCTGTAAAGCAAATGTACTGACTATCTAATAAGTGTAGCCACAGTAAATTTAAAATATGAGCACCAACTTGATTGGCCAAGTATATATTACTGTATTAATAAAGCATTCATAATCTATTTATATCATATAAACATATACATAAGTATGTCATAAAATGTAGCACTGAGAAAAGGGGGAGTTTTTGGGTTTTTTTGTTTTTTTTTAAACCAATGAACAGGAAAACATTACACAATCCTTGGATTTTCTTCAGTGTCTCGGGGTTAGATATGTGCATTCTGTTTCAGAGGCACTGCTATGAAGGACAGTGGCCTGGGTGCCATTTAGAGACCTCTAGCATCCCTAGAGCTGAAAGGTTCTCATACCATTGCAGACCCTCCAATAAAGAAAGGCAGATCTGAAGTACGTGTTGGTTTAATATGTGAGTAAATTAGTACATTCATTTTTAAATGTATTTTCATTCATTTAATTATGCGTGTATATGTTTGGGTATGTGCACGAGTACAGGTGCCCATTGAAGCCAGAGATGTTGAATCCCCTGGAGCTAGAGTTACAGGCAGTGTAAGCTGTCTAATGTGGGTACTGGGAACTGAGTTTCAGTTCTCCAGAAGAGCAGTAAGTGCACTTAGCCACTAAGCCATCTCTCTGGCCCCAGCATATGGATTTTTACTGCAAGTAAGATTCATGGGTATAAAGAAGGGCTATGCATCTTTAGTGTTTATTAGAACTGCATACAAAACGGATCTCTGCTACTACATTTGCTTGATGGTGTTAATGGTTTTCTTCCCTAGGATGCCATTGATAATAGATTAGATTCCAAAGAATGGCCATACTGTTCCCGGTGCCCGGCAGTGTGGAACGGCTCTGGAGCTGTGAGGTAAACTATAAACAAAGTCACTAAAA